GCAGGTGAAGAAGCTGAGTGGCTTCGTAATTTCTTAGAAGATATTCCAAATTGGCCTAAACCGGTACCCGCTATATGTATACATTGTGATAGTCAATCAGCAATTGGAAGGGCACAAAGTAATATGTACAACGGTAAGTCTCGACATATACGTCGACGACATAATACCGTTAGACAATTGCTCTTAAGTGGGATAATCTCAATAGATTATATCAGGTTAAAAGATAATTTAGCGGATCCGTTTACAAAAGGTTTGACAAGAGAGCAAGTACATAGTTCATTGAGGGGAATGGGATTAAAGCCGAAAGCTAACGAGTCATCTTAATGGAAACCCAACCTAGTTGACTGGAGATCCCAAGATCTAGGTTCAAAGGGACAACAGAAATACTGAATGGCTCACCAGAAGCACTGGGAAGATTCAATCTTCTACCCATTTCTATGATGAGACAGTGTTACCTACAGCGATGAGTAGGATAAGCTATGCTTTTAATGACTCTTATACCTTGAAAATTCAAGTGGGGTATGGTAGGATACTCTTAATAAGAAGTCACCTATATGAGTGTGAAGTGGGGCCGCTTCTATGAGAACTTCTAAGGCTAAGTTTTCTGGAGCGCTCATGAAATACCAGGCGTTGTTCAGGGCCATATGAACACAACCGTGAGAACCGACTTTGTGTGGGAAGGAATTGTGTGTTTGCTATTGTCTTGGTTTACATCAACGGCTAAACAGTTCAAGACATAATGTTCACTGGTTAGCTAGTAAATCCGATAGTAATACACTAGGGAAGGTTCAAGGCCAAAAGTTACCTATCCCGATGCAGTAACTTTCCAATAGTACTCTCTATAGTGTCTGTATCTTCTCCTTTTGTAATCTACGAAAATTTTCATTCATGTGGGGGATTGTTGGAAACGGCATTAGAAAACGCAAACTTTGGAAGGATTTTTAAAAAGATTCCGCTAAGAATTTTTTGCGAATCTATTGATGAGCGCGTTCCTCTCTGCGAGGAGATGAACGTGGTATATTTATTTTCTCAAATCCGTTTCCGGGTGAATGAGAAATTGGCTCCAAAGTAAGTGATTTATAAAGCCTAAATGGGTGTGAATAAAGTGGGAAATGCTTGTCCCACATCGAAAAAGTAGCAAAGCAACCTTGAGTATAAATATGTCTAGTATGGGATTTGGGTTTGGGCCCAAGGGCACCCAAGTTTTTAAGAGGGGGAGGACCTAGGCTAGCTTGGATCCGAACCAACTACCACACGCGCGCGCCGCCCGCCCGACCCGACCCGGTCCGGTCCGGTCTAGGGCGGGGCTTGATTGTGAAATAGGTTTAACTTTTTACCCAAAGTTGGAATGGGCCTGTGTGGTTGTAATTTTATTTTGATGCTGGACTTATCAAAATGGGCCTGTTTACTGGGCTGAATTAATGGCCGAGTTGGATTATTTGCCAAGAGTTGCACCCTTTACAAATTAAAAAACCACCAACAGTTTTTTAATTCTGATTGGTCAACAATGGTTGCACCCATTCGGATTATGGGTGCACCCCATTCAGAATAGGCACCAACAAGCCTATAAATACCCATCATTGTCTTCATTTCAAAACACACCAAGTTCAGAAATCTTCTTCTCTTCTTCTGAATTTCTTCTTCTAATTCTTCTTTGTTCGGTTCAGCCACTGGTTTGGATTGGGTTCGAACCTTGGTTTCCAAGTTTCGGTTCAATCTTGGTTTCCAAGTTTCGGTTCAATCTTGGTCTCCGAGTTAGGGTTCAATCCTGGTCTCCGAGTCTGAGTTCAACAGAGAGTACTACACCGAGCCGATTCGCCTATTCCATTGGTTTGAAGTGCTACTACCAAAGGAAGAAAAGTCGTTGTATCCTGGGAGATAGACGCCGAAGAGTCCGTTAGCACCGTAGCGGGGCGTATCTGTCTTAAGGCTATAGAATTAAATTCTAGCCTCGACTTTATCAGGTTCTTTTATAGTTTTATTTTCTTGATATTAAACAATATAAATATATATATAGATTATTATATTATTTACAAATAATATTTAAATAAATTATACAATAGTATATGATACATAATTTTTTTTATTTTAACAAAATCAAATAGTGAAAATATTAGGACACGTGGTCACAGACTAAGTAAGTTATTCTGCGTAATTACGACCCACAAGGTACTACCTAGTGCGCACTTATGACTTAGAAGACTCTTGTTTCCGTACTAGAGCCAAACCCTAGCCATCATTTGTATTATGTCCTTACAAGTTTTCCAAAATTAATAAGTTAAAAACTTATGCAAAATCAATAAGTTAAACCAAACTTATATTAAATCAAATAATACATAAAAACCATCTTCCATGCACAAGTAAAGTTGAATCCATATAAAGCATGTCGTAAAATTCAAGTCTAAATAGCATATGACATGTCAAGTCTTTAATATGCAATTTATATATTAAAATAAGAATATTTCACAATAATTGAGCCAAATTAGTATCCTAAGCCATAAGTACAAAATAAGTTACAATTTAGTAACTAACTTTCAAGGTAAGCAATTGTAATATTCTAAACAAGTTATATATCTATACAAGATATATTTAGACAAGCATTGCAAGATAATGACATCCTATATCATGCTAAGTCCAATTACTATTTTAAGAGGCTGCAAGTACTAATTCTACATCTAATTAGTAATATGCTCATAAGGTAATTAAATGTAGTACTTTTCATGAGATTATCACCTAAACATGAAATGTCTCTAAAATCAAGTAATTTAGTAAATAGAACAATTTACTCACGGCAAGATAAACATGCTCCCAAGGCTTTGAATTATTAAACAAGCTATACTATATATGCATGCTATAATTTTAAGGCCACTAATTATTATGTTATCTCTACACATTATATATATATAAGTTAGGCATGTTTCAAATCATGTATTAAGTTATACAATATACATATAAACTACAATTTGACAAGTTATACATAAATATACACCAAACATGCTTTTAAAACACTAAATCCTAAGTCATTTCAAGGATTTATAATCTATATACAAGACTATGATTTAGTAAGGATGTAAATAATATATATTAAGCTCCAAAAATACTAAAATATTAACGAAATAAACATACAACAACCCCTACCTCACTTGAGATGAAATCTCAAATACCACCGAAATGAAACTACTCCGAATCTTATGATACTTTGGGGTTTTGTCGGGGACAACAAGGTGAACATTAAACCTTTAGGAGGTAGCACCTAATCCAAACTTGGCTTCAAACCCGAATTCGAAAAATGGCTAAAACGGGATTTCAATCGGTTGGAATTGAAGGCCTCGTCAATGCCAACATTAAAGCCTAAGACATCACCGAAAATATCTAAGGGGAAGGAGGCCAAAAAGAGAAAAGAAAGGTGGCAGCCCAGAAAAGATGATAAAAAATATACCACTCACCCCCTATTTAAAAAAAAACTCAAAAAAGTGCCCCGAACGGGTCCTGCTCGGCCCGAAAAAGTGAAATTCATGCAGACACGCTTAAACGGCAAAACATCGTGAACGAAAAAGAACTGAAATGAGAAAAAATGAACAACAAAAGAAGCGGTGTCGAAATTGAGTCTTGAACAGAGAGATATGTCCCGAACAAGTTCGGCGACAACCAGGGTCAAAAACCCGAAAACTTGGGAGATCGACCGTAAGACAATTCTAAGAGTACACGACTCGACGAAATGTGAAAATGATTCCCATACGAGAATTCAAGCCCCAAGGAAATATTTTGCAATTAACTTTCATTAATTGCACAAAGGCCCCTACACAAAAGGATAACTGCTTAAGTGACCTAAATGAAAATATCTTCCAAAAGATATTTTCTTAAAAACCCACAAATCAAAATATCTTTAAAAGATATTTATGAAAAACACCCAAGAAATGAAAATGTTTCTGAAGAATTTTTTCATCCACGCCCCTGCGGGAAAAAGAAATAACTGACGAGCTTTTCTCTTAAAGTAAAGTTACCCCTTTCAAGGAAATCAACAAGAATGAAAGCACGTGGAGTCAAAAATCAACACCGACCACGAAGAGTGAGGTTATGCGAAATGAAATTTTAACGAAAAAAATTAATCCGTAAAAATGGAGAAAAAGGAAAGGAAGGAAAATGACTGGGTCATTACAACCACTATCAACCATCGCCACCATTTCTTAATGTTAGTTTGTCAATTAAAATTATTTGTCACTAATAGGGGTATTTTGGATAATTCAATTTGAAATTCATTATTTTTTAAATTTTATATTAATCAATTTCTATAGATTTTATATTTGCAACCAAACAATAGAATGAGAATGACCATTTCATTCCCATTTTCATTTGCATTCCATTCAATTTTTGCGCACCAAACGCAACATTAGGTATTAGTGGTTAGTTGTTACAGGGGAGAGGAGGGTGTAAGTTTAGAACACGGGTTCCTAGACACGTGAACAACCTAACTACTCTAGTAACATAACACGAATAGATATTGAGTGCGCTAAGTGCACAATGCACTGAGTCATCTGAATTATAAGTGTTGTGCACATGTTCGCACATTCACAAGTAACACGTACAATTCTGATAAATCCCGTGCACAATAGCTGTGCACACCCAATACCTCCTCACACGGCACTTATCTCTTATCCATTTCAAGTGTTAACTTTGCTGCTCAATTATCTTCTATTCCCACCTCTTCAAATTGACGTTATATATTATGTACATTGACTTTTAGTTAATTATATAAATGATCGCTTTTCCAAACTGAATTCTTATAAAATTATCAAAAAGATCCGGCCAAATTTTAAGACTCCTGCATTTCCTCTTTTGTTTGGACCCATAATTTTTTTTTTCCAAACCAATTGAAATCATTGTGTGTTTCACCTTTTGATATTTAACTACAATTGTGTGAATTAAGTTAATTAATTTATTTTTGTTCAATTAATACTGTAGTTTTTCATCGTTTTTGATAAAATTAATATATACATGTATATATATATATATATACACGGAGTATATAAAATTTTAGCAGGTATCGAGATCTCCGATCTAATATTGGGTGTTCAAGTCGAGCTCAATTCCACTAACTTGTTTAGTCTATTTAGAGTTGACAATTAATGTTAATTCATCCCGTGGTTGGTGCACGCGTGTCGTGACGAAGAATCTTAAGGGCGAAGATAGCTCTTATATATGTGCATACGAGGCTCTGTAGACTGCATAGAGAAGACAGTTATAGAGAGAGAAAAAGAGATAAGAGATGGGATCAAGTAACAGCAGAAATCCATTTCCGGCGACTGATATCAACGCCTTGCCGGAGAATTGCATAGCGAACGTGTTGTCTCTGACGAGTCCTGCGGAGACTTGCCGGCTTTCGTTGGTGTCTTCGACTTTCCGGTCCGCTGCGGAATCTGACACGGTGTGGGAGAGATTTATACCTTCAGATTATCAGGACATAATTGCCGTAGAAGAGTCGTCTTCTCTGCCGGATTTCAAAACCAAGAAAGAGCTTTTTCTCCACCTCTCCGATCATCCCTACATCATCGATGATGGGACCAAGGTAAAATTTATAGTTTCACACGGTATTCTTGATTGTGATTAGGCATGAATGATGTGTAATTTAGGGATATATGTTCCAAGCTTTTAATGGGTTTAGGGTTTAGGTTTTAATATGTTCAAGATTTTAATGTGTTTAGACCATATGGTTTAAAATATTTTTGAAAATTTAATGTGATTTAGACATGAATGATTGTGATCATACCAAAATTTCAAAATATCAAATGAAATTATGGTTCAGACAAAGTTTTATGGATTTGGAGGTAGGGGTTTTTTTTTTTTTTTTTTTTTTTTTTTGGGAGAGAGTAAGTTTGAATTAAGAGCTAGTTCCTGCAGTGAAATATGAATATATGTAGGGGAATTAATTTATGGTAATTCCTTTATCATGAATTGTGCATCGAAATTATTATAATCATGTTAATATATTCAAAATCTCACACTGTATGTATGATTGTGATTGTAATTTACTGTTACTGTGGGAAATATGTTCAAAATTTTAATGGATTTAGGGTTTAATATATTCAAAATTTTAGGGGAATTAATTTATGGTAATTCCTTTGTCATGAATTGTGCACAGAAATGTGCATAGAAGTTGTCTTAAGAATGTGCATTAGAAACTCCATGTTTGCAATCATAAACGGAAGGTGGCAGAGAAAAATTATACACCCTTTTTACTTTTGACATAATTTTACAGGGGCTACTTCAGATTCAGAACCTACACCCTTACCTTCAGACTAGGAACCCTGAGCCCACATTCTCAAACATGGCAGCCCGATTGTATACCAGCATACCGAACACTCAATCTCATCATAATCATATAGCGTGGACAGAATTTAACTTAAGAATGTGCATAAAAACTGTATGTTCATAATTAAAAATTAAAGGTTGTAACCAGGTGACACGGGGTGTCTGGTATAGGAAAATTACAAAAAGGCCCAACTTTTAACATTATTTTATGCAAACTATGAACTCACATTCTCACACTTGTCAGTCGAGCTTTTACCATTATACCAAGCAAATATAATGTTATCATAATATTGGACTTGTTATACTGTACAGGATCCATATACTATGAATAGAAATTTACTTGAGATTAGAAGGTCGAAAATGGAACTAGTGTCCTAATCAACAAGGCAGCCATGTGTTAAAAAAGTATCTCTTTCTAGATATTTAGCTTTGGATTGGAAGGCTAAACATGGGCATCTTAAGTTGGGGAGACAAGGCTTCCAAATCACTGTAGACACTGGAATTCTCAATTGTCAAACTATAAATTCGCAACAATTTGAACACTTCTCAAATTATTTGCAAGTGTGATCAAATTTGGTTCAAACTGGAACCAACAAGTATTTCGAATGAAGTTGTGAGTGAAGGTGGATACTGGGCATCCGCACATTCTGGTCTCAGGGCTTCTCGCTTACCAGTTACGAGCACCTGATGGAAAAATAAACTACTTATCTAATTCTGTTCCCTGTGCTTCCCTCTACTTGCTTGTTTAATTCTGATATCAAATATCTAAATTTTGAGTTAGTAGCTGCAAGTCTCCCAGTATGTTTTATAACTATTTAATTATGGATAATCATTTATAGTCTTCAAATAGAGATTCCGATGTCTAACACAACAAAATTTGGGTTGGTTATGAATCCGGCTGCTGTGTTACAAAACACCCTGTCAAAAGCCATCTTTGCTGGTGATCGCATACTCATGTTATTCATTAATGCTGCATGGCATGTAATTCTTGTTAACTTTGTTTTGTTCCTTTGAGTTGACTCATATGATTCGCAAGTTTTGGAGCTTTGGTTCGTTCTATCTTTTTCTCTATCTACCACTATAAGCAGCATTGAACTGAATTTCCACTTGGGGTGGTTGTAGTTACTTTATACACATTGTTAGCTTCAGTATTCATTTTCATACATATCTAATTTCTCAATGGTGGCATTAAGCAGAGTTTTTCATTGGATAAATGGAGTGGGAAGAAATGTTTCATGTTAGCTGCTAGATACCTCTCAATTATTTGGGGTGATACACCTGAGTATTGGACATGGATTTCTCTACCTGAGTCCAGGTCTGTCTCTCACACTGTGTTGTTCTTTCTTATTTTGTTTTCTCCATCTAAATGTATGGTGTTAATAACTTGACGAGTTCAAATCCACAAAATCAGATTCACTGAGGTGGCAGAGCTTGTCGATGTGTGTTGGCTTGAGATTCGTGGGAAGATAAGTACTCAGATGCTATCACCAGACACAACCTATGCAGCCTACCTTGTGTTCAAGTGGGCGACAAGAGCGATTGGATTTGAGAACCAAGCCGGAGAGAGTTGGGTGCGACTCAGTGGGGGTGAAGGGGAAAAAAGGAGTTTTTATCTGGATCCTAGGGGATTGCCGAGGCGTCGAACCCGTCGAACCTGCACTGATCAATATCCGAAGGAGAGAGGAGATAGGTGGTTGGAGATAGAGCTGGGTGAGTATCTCAACAAGAGTGGAGAAGATGGGGAACTAGAAATACATTTGCAAAACTTGACCAGTCACTGGAAAAGTGGCCTCATTGTTCAAGGAATTGAAATCAGGCCGAAGAATAGTAAATAAATGAAAATATATTTATAATCACTTTGAACTTGTCCATGCTATGTGGTATATTATGATGCGTTGGTAGTCATCTTGTTCAGTCATGAGGTTTGAATAGTATAAAATTTGAATGTTTGAGATCTGTTATGAATGAACCATTTGGGTTGATGTAGGCCTTCTCCCAACTAGACTCAAGACCAACTCAATTGGTCCATCCACAACAAGCCCAAACCATAATTAAAATATACAAATAACACAATTAAACAATTAGCGTAATTAATTAACCTAGTAAACAAAATCACTACAAGAAAACCGTAACACACAACATAACAAGCAAAATAAAATTTAATTAAAAACAGACAATAAACAATTAAGCACTCTAATCACATAAACAAACGGTCAATTAATCAATTTAAATGCAATTAAATTAAATAAATAATTATTCTAAAAATTAGGGGTATTACAAATTGGCCCAGTCTGGATAAATTGGCCAGAGTGGACTCCGTCTCCGGTAAAACAATGTATGAAATAGATCTTTCATTTGTTCCCAATTTAAAATAGAATTAGGTGATAAATGAATCCACTATGAAAAATCTGTCTCTGTGAAGGAATTTAGAAAGAGTCTCAATTTTAGCCCACGACTAACAGTGATCTCTCCACGACTATGAAGCAGCCGATGTGTTATACGGTCGACCACCAATGGCCTCTCCATATTTTTTTCTATCTATCTTTTTTGTTTTTTCCTTTTTTTTTTAGAAACAAACAGAAACCAAACGAATTGATATATAACTGAACCCTAATTATTATAACTAATTAACATGAAATCAAATGATATACAAGTGTGTGTGACAACACAGTTGAAAATGCAAAATGAGGAAGCCAAGAAGGAAGTTTATATTGAAGATAATGGGCCAAGGTCAAGCGCAGAAAACATCTCTGAAGTATATTTACAGTGCATATCATGGGATAAAGTCTAAATTTTAAGTCCTTGAATTTTCTGAGTAAGAAGAGTAAGAAATTCTTCATTCTTCTTAGGATGTGAAAGATTGAAGCCTGTAACTTCAATTGCAGGTTTGACCAATGCTTTGGATAGGGAAGCTGTAGGAGGAGAAGTCTTATCAGTAATACACTTAGTATTAATTGTATTTAATACTGTGTCTATTCCTGTTTCAATTCTCCCAAACTGAGAGCCTATCGTTTGCAAACAAACACTCGTATAATTGTTCTGCCTGTAAACAAGAGAAATGTCTTTCTTAGTAGCATTACAGGATGGATCAATTATTCGGGGTTGGCTATAAGCCTTGGTTTCCACTTGGACACCACTGTCAGGGTCGATCCTTTTCAGAATTAAATGTTCAGTGGGAGGATGGACAGAGTGGTAAACCTTATCTTCAGATGTAGTCCATGTTTTGAAAAAATCATCCAGTATGTTTATATTAACAAGAGAATGATTGGTCGTAAAGAACTAAGAAACAAAAGGTATAACCATTTTGTGTTCTTGTAGAAAATCATAAAATTGAGTTTTAAAAAGCTGTAATTGATTTTGGTCAAAAGCTTTAAAATACCAATTTCTGAATTCTTTATATTGATCCTGTTGAAATTCAGTATTAATGGCAATTCTATCTGGGACAAAATCCATTAAAACTAATATTCATGAGGGTCATTGATGTCTGTAGGATCATCAAATTGATCCTTGACAGATTCATTTCCGATTCCCATTTCAGATGGAGTTGGGCTGAATTCAATTCCAAATTGGCGACGAGACATACCTATTGGTGCTTTCTCGTAGACTCCTCTTGGAATTTGATTCTGAGATTGCTGTATTCCTTTCAGCTTGAGTTGATTTGAACCAACGACTTCAGGGAGATCTTCCTTTCTGTAATTCGACAAAATCGAATGGCGAGAAGGAGGACAAGAAACATGATAAGGAAGATGACTTCCTTTAGATGATATAGATCTAGGTAGATCTATTGATTTTCTGAAATTTAGAAAAACATCACCATCTTGATCCTGAATAACACAGTCTAAGCTATGATTAGTAATTGGCTTTGCCGGAACTGCGTTAGAAATCGTCCAATGTTCAGGAAAAGTTATTTCACTCCAAGGAATCATCCTTTTTGTGGCAACATTGGATGTGTACATATTGGTGTCCCATAACGTTGTCACTCCTTTAGAGTCTTTGCGTATGGCATTCGGACACATAGTATCAAGTACTTTGTAATGGATGCGATAAATAACACTTATCACTTCCGATCCAGGTAAATAATCATACCCATAGGTCTGAACACGAAGACTGACGGCCTCATGGATATTTTTATCTGTTAAAGATAAATTCAGACTAGGATATACATTAAAATAAACCGGTCCATGACATAGACTGGTTTCCAGTGCACCCATTAAGGAAGGGTGAAATTTCATACATCGAGCATCCCGAAGGGTTGCTTGAATACAAGCATCCATACCTAACAAGGTTAAAGGTTTAAAAACAATCTGAATTAAACCTATATGGATGTACTTATATTTGTGCATGTGCCTCTGAAGGTCAAGACAATAACTTAATTATTGTATCCTTAGTGCTTAATTGCATGGTCTGTTCCATGGTCTTGACAGTCCATAGATCAGTTAAATTAAGCATTCCGATTTTGTAAATGCTCTTTGCACTTACTGGAGGGATAGTCCATCTGTTCAATTTATTTTGAACATTGGTTCATTCCACTAATTCAGTATTTTTTACCAGTTCTGAATCCTGGTTTTCCTGTACTCCTGAAGAGGAGGAAGAAGATGGTTTTAACATATCTGTTAATTATTGTTAATGCTTTAACGTCTGCATAGTATAAATATTATAATATTATATAATAAACAGTAAGTTACTATTCTGTCGTCTTTCTGCTTAAAAGAGATTCTATTACTCGTCTGTCAACGATTTACTGGAAACAACACCCTGGGCAGCAATTTAATGCAAAAAGTGGGCTAAATATTCCAACGCGACTTTTGGACGACCCATAATTGAATCTGGGATAAACATAATTAGACAGAAAAATAGTCATATTGTTCATTACATAATTACGATAATAATCATGCTACCAGGACCTAAGAAGCATTAACAATAAAAGTTTAAGCCAGCGTGGCTCTGATACCAATCTTTGATTAATTGCTAAGGAGGATACCTCCTTTTGCAAATAATTCAGTTGTTTTTCCTTAAAGATAATATTATCTTTAAGAGCATTGATATGCTTGTTTACTGGTGGGGTCAAAAATTGAAAAGTGATTGACTGACCATGTAGATTAGAGCATATTCCCTGAGAATCAATTTTCTCAATTGGCATGATCAAAGCTAAAAAGGGGGTGCCCAAAATAACTTGTTGTGCCATATTCCTGATGAGTAAGAAAGTAGATGGTAAACAAATACCTTCTTTACAAATGAAAACATGATTAAGTTTATACTTAATCTGCATCTTACCACCATTTGCACTGGTAAGACCTTGAGTGGTTTTCTCAAAATATTGAGTGGGAACCAATCCTTCCTGGATACAGTTCATATCTGCACCATTATCAACTAAGGCAATAACATAAGTGATAGTGTACTCTTGATTAATTACCAAATTGATAGAGATATACCATTTTTGGTAAGTAACTTGATTTAAGAGGTGAAGATAATTCGTGCTTTCGGTTTGAGGGACTTCGATCTGGGATGATGAAGTTTCAGTTACAGATGTTGCTTTTAAAAGAGTAATTTCCAGTTCCATCTTATGTTGACGAGACTTTAACTGGCGAATTTCTTCTTTTAAAAGATTAATCTCCATCTTGAGATCAGGGAGATTAGCAGGACGAGAATTTTGTCCTTGGTGTTCTAATCTGCTTAGAACTTCTTTCATGCTGTAATGATTTTGCTCTCAGAAAATCTGGATTATCCGTATCCTCATTAGATCGTGCCAGAGCAGAACCTATTTCAAAGACTTTCATCTTGATTTGAGGATCCTGGATATGATCTATAAGATCCAATAAGGATTGTTGAGTCGAAGTCAAAACATTTAAGCTTAACCCATTCATTTCAACAATTGCCTTATAATAATCATCATGAGAGGGATTACAGGAACATTTAGGATTTCCAATTTCTGCTTCAGGGGAAGAAGAAGACTGTAATTCCATAACAACATCCCCATAATCAGCTGATGATTCTGATTCAGAAGAACTAGTATTAAGTAGCAATTTACTTAATTGAAGTCTCAGTTCATCTTCTATGTGAAGACTACTGAGTTTCTCCTTAGTTCTGCACTTGTTTGCATAGTGGCCTATACGTCCACATTTGAAACATTTAGCCTCAGCTTTGGGCTTTCCTTTACCCTTTGCTTTAGGAATATATTTCCTTTTAGGCTTAGTATACTGTCTAGAATTATCCTTTTCCTTTGAATAATTCTTTCTTTTGGAATACTTCCTTTTATAAGGTTTTTCAACCTTATTTCTTTTCCTAGGTTTAGGATAAGATAAGGGAGTCTGGTAGGCAAATTGATCACAAAATTCACCCACTTCTTTCCGACCAGTTAATCTTTGTGCTTTTAACTGGGATTGTAACTTTAGATCATTACAGAGAGCTAGACCTTCCTGGATTACAATATTGACTAATCCACCATAGGTATAGTTTCTGTAAGGGATAGAGATACCATTATTCATATCTCTAAGCTTCTTCCTGATTCTTTCAGCAAAAAAGGTTGGTAAACCATCCACAAATTTTGCTTTCCAGTGCTCATGATTTGCATCATTGAGTTGGAGAACCTTGGCCAAGAATACATCTTTATACCACCTAAAATGAGTTAAAGATGGACATCTTAGATTCTGTAGAAGTTCACGACTCCTTTCACTATTAGCGCCTTCGGGGCCAACAAAATGTTGAATAATAGTGGTGATGAGGGTGTAAACCGCATCTGAAGCAGGTCCGGATTGTTGGGTAGCTTCATCTTTAACTAACTTGGTAGCAGAAAAGATTTCAGCTTTCTGAATATCGGTGAGAACATTATCCCACCATCCTTTAAGGATGCCTGTAAAACCAGCAACGACAAATTTAGCAATGGTTGGGTCAGTATTGTTGTTGATTTTACAAACTTGGCTATACATCAACATTTGATGAATAACCTCGTAAATCTG